TGTCATTTTCTTAGATCATAGCTCCCAGCGTCGTCTCGCTCAAAGAGTGTACGTTTGCACCTCACCGTCGACATGCAAGAAAAGATCCAAGCTGCTCCGTGTGACCATGTGGGAAATGACAAAAGACTCCATTTCCAGCATGCATACAATCATGAGTTGGAGCAATGTGCTGAATAGTATTCTGTGCTGTATATTGAGCACCACCACTACCACCCGCACAGCTCACTGAAGTAACCCATCCCCCAGCTGAGACATTTATGTGACTACATTACAGCAACGTCCCATCCCCCCACTAAGTGAGCTTTTCTGAGCAGGTCCCTGGGGTGGGTGTCAGTGTGGAAAGCAGACCTTTTTCCCTGTCCATGGGATGTTATTGATGAGGTAAGGTAATGGATCCCCCTGCTGTGCTCACAGGGCCACTGAAGATAAATCAGACAGTGGGTAAGACCCAACCAGCCATTCCACCTATCTCCACACTGAACTGCCATTTCATTAGCTTTATTTATGGGGGTTTTGCACTCTTCTGAAGCCCTCCCCTCTCTGTCCTCCCACTGAAAATGCTGCTATTTCTCTTCGTCCTTTAGTGCTATGGCAACCTATATACACCCCCACCCCATTCTTCCTCTTCTTCTTTTTTTTTTTTCCATCGAAATGGTAGTATTCGACCTCCCACGCATTTTTCCTGGAACTAGTGCTAGCCTCAGTCTAGTTTATGTAAAAGTCAGCCTACAGCCTGTTATCTCACAGTGGACAAAGGGCTGGAATGGAAAGTGAAGGACATCCTGGGCTTTTTACATTAGATCCAAGTCTATAGAGCTCAGCATTTCCTGCAGAGCTGTATTTGAGTTGGCTGATCAGCAGCAATTCACCTTTGGGCTTACAGCTCTCCATGTAACAACAACAACAACAACAAAAAGCAGCCACTTGAGTAAGAAAAGAAATTCGTTTTTGGACCTTGCTGGAAAGGACTAGTTGAACTCATATCATCATCACAGATCAAATGTAATATTATGTTTTTTTTTCTTTCAGAAAATGTGTCCAAAATTGGAAAGCAGGCACAATTCACTGCTCGAGCTGAACAAGCTCACTTCTACGCCCATGCCAGCAGAATATGACACTGATTCTTTGTAGCTTTTTCATCACTATTGCTTCTTAACTGCCAAGATTTATATCACAACTTTGATAGCACGCTTAGGAAAGTCCACAGCATCAGGAGCCGATTGCATCTGTACAAAGCATCAGTGTTATCGTTGTACGTCCTATCTGTTGATTGTAATGCATCCAATCAGAGGGCAGCTATCTATGCTGACTGATTTTTCTGACGAGCTTTACAAATGCCAAACCTCCATCCATATGCAAATGTATATTATATGCTAAACCATGTGTCTATCTACCTATGTACTGAAAGTGGTAAATGCAGTGAATCATCACACATCCTCCTCACATCAGTTTTCCATTGAAAAATTTTTTTTTTTTTTAACTTCCTTTCATGGTGAACACTGATCTCATGACAGTCCTGCTGGAACATGTCCATACAAGGTCCACTTTAGTGTACTCCACATGAATCCATGCAACCTGACAGATGGTTGACTGAGCTAAGCTCCTGCAATTTTTGACTCGAGCCCAGTTCCATCGGTTGACTTGGACATTGGACAAGTGTGAATATGCCTGTCACGCCCACACCAGCCAGAGGAAATTCAAGCATGATTTGTCACATGAAAGCAGAGTGTGCATCATATAGATGTGTTTATACATATCTATCTATCTATCTATCTATCTATCTATCTATCTATCTATCTATCTATCTATCTATCTATCTATCTATCTATCTATCTATCTATCTATCTATCTATCTATCTATCTATCTATCTATCTATCTATCTATCCAGCACTCTCTGTCTCTCTCTCTCTCTCTCTCTCTCTCTCTCTCTCTCTTTCTATATATATATATATATATAGAGAGAGAGAGAGCTGGTTATTTCAGTCAGGGGTTGAAATCACATTTCTGCCTTGCACAGATTTAAACTTGTACTCCAAACCAATATCTGTGATTTTGTTTTTTTAAAGCTGCTAAATTACATGGATGCATGATGTAACAAAGACACAGAGCACTATCCGACTTTGTATTACATGTGAGCGAGGCTGGAAAGATTCATATTATGTCTCAGCAGTGAGATTTAGTCTACACATGATCTTGATAAAAGGCAGGAAAAGAAAAAAAAAGAGAGAGAGAAAAAAGCGTTTGCTGGCTGTCGGCCAGGTGTGGACAGACTCAGGAAGTTAAGCCGGAATTCCAACAATGCAGGCAGTCGTTAGAGTCTTCAGCGAAGGTGCTGCCATTTCTGCTCTCAGTGCTGTCTTTGTTGTGGCGGCGAGGAGGCAGTTAGGTGAAATGCTGTGGCTGTGAATGCATTTCAGCCCTCGCTCTGAATTGCAAAAACCACGAGTGACGTGTGAATGATACAAAGCAAACAGTGGCATCAAAATCAGGCTCTTCTCTCGCGCCTGCGTCCAGGGGGGAAAGATAATTTTCCCAGGCTGTTTGACTCGAGCCCAGTCGTGACAATAATAAATGCCGGCAGTGACAGGATGAATTATGCCTCAGCTAAAAATGTACATCACAGCAATAGGAAGAAGCTGGCATGTAATTACACCGGAGATATAAATAGCGACGCATGCCTCAAAGTATCCATCACCTTCATCTAGAAATCACATTAGAAATGGTACACTCGATTTCAATTAGAGATGTTTTTTTGTATTTTTTTTTTATTTCTATTTATTAGAACAGACACATTTCCCGGATTAACTGTATTTGAATCCAATTAGTTTAAGCCTAAGTGAACATTCCTTAAATACTACCCATGAATGCACTAAAAAAATAAAAATGCCAGAGTCTAATAATGTGTTTCTAATCGGCCACGGGTTTTTGAAGGATGGGACCATGCGGCATGAGAGTATTTGAATTTGTAATCAAAGCTGATCATTCAGAAAGGGGAGCTCCATTAATCTGGCAGACTCCGGGTGGCAGCCCATCTTTTAAGAAGTGCTGTTTTGATGAGGATTTTCCCTCCAGCCTCCTCTCACCTCTAAAAGGCTTTCTATGCTGCTGCTGTTTTCACCTTGCGTGTCTCTGTGTGCCTGCGATGCAAAATGTGCTTCTGGATACACCAACTGAAGCAATCTGTGTACAAATGATGTCACCGTGACAATGTCACACAAGTGCAAGATACACAACTTTACAGGTGTGCGGTTGAGATTAAAAAGCAGGTCAGCTCATACTGTTGATGGTCTGATCTAAAAGAAAGGAGAACTGCACATTACAGTTCATTCATTTGTTATATGTGTCACTCCTTATTTGCAGAAATTTATCTGGTGATAGAAAGATGTGGGCTGAGAATTCAATGGAGTTGTGGCTGTTGTAATGTCATCACAGGATGGTGCTTAGTTGATGTTTTATTTCCTAGCCATTATGGATGTCTGCAGTGCATCTGCCAACTGATTGCCTTTAAAATCTCCAAAGTCTGCTTAGTTCATGCTCTCACCCCTGGTGGTGCCTTTCATGTGGGCTCTGGATCTACTGAAGCAATCCTTTAGTTGCACGAATAACTTGTAGAAAAGATACCCCAGAGGATCCAAAAGTGAGCTGCCGAATTTGCTTTGCATTCAGGAAAAAGTGCGCCCTGTCCAGATTTATCAGTTGTGAGAATTTGGAGAGAAAGGCAAAGAGAGTGTTGTGTCCATTTGGCCTTTGTCTGGAGCTTTGTTTAACATTATGAGGAGTCTGGCTGCAGATAAAACACAGCTGTTGACATCAAAACTGGCAAGTGAGAAACATTTGCACTTTATCAACAAGCTGATAAATTGGGCATTGCAGATCTGGGAGAGATTGTTCAGACAAACGGCTGGGTCCAAAAAACCCAGCTGAAATAAACAGTTATCTCTCCTGCTCTGTGATGGCTGAACGAAGAGATGGTGGTTATACTGATGGTTAGAGGGGGTCTCCCAAACCGCAGAGCAGAAAGAAAAACACAGGGAAGAAAGAAGAAAGGAAGAAAAAAAACAATCCCAACTGACATCATAGGAAAGGCTGCTGCTTAAATTTAGGGCGAGATAAAGCCTGGCTGGAGTGTGCCAGATAGTTATATGGCAAATACAGGTTGCCAAGGACTTGTCCAAGTGGAATAACACAATAAATAATCATAAAATTAACTGAAACTTACTACCATAGACTGTAAAAACCAGGATTACGTTTCAGCAGATTTTTTTTTTTAATGAGCCCTGCTGATTGAAAAACAACAACAACAAAAAAAACCCACAAGGCAGCCAGACATTTTCCACAAAATCCTCTCTGTGACTCAAGTAGATGCAGCATGGGTGGTGACTTTTAGAAGCCAGTGTGAAGTAGAGAAAGCAGTTTCAGATCATTTGCAAGGTACCGGCTTCAGCAGAGTCATCAACTCAGTTCACAGCATGGCATGTTGTGATCTCCTGAATACTATCCTTCAATGTTAAGTCAGTGTATTCACAGCTTGTACTTCTCCATGGGAATCAAGCAGCACAGATGTAGACTTCCTGGAGTTTTAATGCTTGGGTTGACCCCCCTTTTTTTGGAGGCTCTGGGTTCATAAAGGAGCAGGGAGGGGTGTAACTGGAGAGGGCCAGTGCGTTTGAGTCTAATGTGTACCAATAAGTCCAGGATAAGATGGAAATTCTTGTGGACTGTTTGTAGTGTGTTAGATTATGATGGAAATTTAAGCAGCTGTACCGTGTATGCTTTATACATATATTTGTTAATCACCTAAATAGCACACCTACAAATCTATTTGGAAAATTAATCATAACATTTTATTTACCAATGAAAATGAGTCATGCCAAATTACTATAATTTTGAATATGCTGTGGGCATGGGAAATGTGCAGCGCTTTGAGTAGAGAGGAGGAGCGAGAGAGCTTATGGACCTATTGAGAAAGACAGAGGCGGTTCAGCCCTGCTATGGTCTCAGCAGCAGCAGCTCAGGGAGTAGTACTAGACCACTGTGTTGTGCAGGAACAGGCACGACGTATCCGAAAACCGCTAGCGGATTAAATGAAAACGAAAACTACTCTTTCATGTGGATTAATTCCGGGGAGAGACGTTTAGTTGAAGCGAGAAGACTTTTAAGCGAAATTGGACCGAGTGACGAGGATTGGGACGTTAGTCACAGTGCGATAACACCACCGAATGATTTCTTTTGCCCCGCCGCTAAGGTTAGTTAGCTTTCATTGCTCGCTGTGTCCATTGGTTTTGGGGGGGGGGGGGGGGCGTCTGTTCTGCTGTTGGATGACGGGGTCCGGCTATTCTTTGGAGGAGAAACAGCAGTATTGACCTTTTCGAGTCTCTATGCTGTGCTATAGTTACATGACCTATCAGACCTGTATGAAATTAAATGTTTTAGCGGTGTTCGACTAGCTGGTTACCCATCTTGCCACAGTAGTGCTAGTTGGCTGGTTATTCCCAGCTAGTTAATTATTTTATAAATCCGGAACACGTGCTACATGGCTAGGCTAGGCTAGGCTGGCTAATGGCTAACCAGGGTAGCTTCCCAAGCTAGCTGTCAGAATGACCGAGTAGCCAGCGCCAGTTTTATTCAGCTGAATTAATCATACACTGGTGGTGACTCGTTACTGACGCTATTCCACACACAACACGACCAATATCCGACAATATTAGTGATTGTCAACTTTTTACTATACGGTACCAGAAAATGGGTTCAAGCTAAGTCATTTAGCCTGCTAACTTGGCTATGCACAATAGCGCCCGGTTTGCGTTTGTAAACACTGGTTGTACATGAAGTGAACGTAATGCGCTGAATCGGCTTTAGCGGGGACGAATTGGTTTGTTGTCAGATGGCTGATAAGCTATATTTGGCGTGCAGTAGTTTTGTAAGCAGCTTGATGTCAAGTCTCTAAAAACAAAAGTAAAGAGGGACTGTAGGGAGTTTGCGTTAGTGTTTGGCTTCTCAACATTGCTGCTGAGTGAGTATACTTGCTGGAGTTGGACTGGGGTTTTTGGACCTCTGTGTATTCTCCGGTAAACTGCATTCCTGTCTCTACAGTCAGTCTATGTAATGATAGTCCGTCATAAAAACATTCTAATTTTGGTGGTTCTAAGTAGTTAATCGCTATTGAGACACACCTGTTAATTCTGTAAAGACTGAAAACACTTTGGTTGGATACCTAAGGTAGTGAGTTACAAATAGTTTAAAAGACGTTTTCCTAATATTGAATGCTAGGGAGGACGTTCACCTTGATGGTGTCCTTGTTGTCTAAAGTTATTTGTTCTATAGTGTATATCTTCAACTCTTGTAACACGTACTGTAGATAAAAGCCGATTATCAGCAATCAAATAATAGGCATTTGTCTTGTGAAATTTGTGTTGCTGTGATTGTTCCCTAAGAAACACAAACTCATATTTTGTCTCATATCTTACTTTTATGTGCCTACGTTTGAAACGTGTGGGAACACACAATTGCGAACATACATAGTGGTATGGTAATGTATATTTAAAAACTTGCAAACCTTAAACTGTAACTGTCTGGATATCTGGGATTAAATGATGTATTTACTGATCTGTCCTCTCTGGTTATAAAACGGGGTTTTCCCCTGGATATAGTTTGACCAAGTTGGTAAGCCACTTTGATGCACTGTATCACGGATGACCAAAGAGTCAATGCATTTTCCTGTTTCCATTAGTACATAGATTATGCACGTCACCAATGATAAAAATAGTGATCTGTGGTAAGACCACAGGTTTGAAGCAGAGCTAAAAAAAACAACAACAAAAAAAGGAGTTGGACAACAATATGATGAGTGTGTTTGTGTAAAGCAGGCAATGCCTTATCACAAATGAATGAAATGTGTTTCACTCAAAATCAATCAGTATTAAATGCAATCCATGTATTTATTTTGCATGTGTTATAGCTATTCCAGTGCCTTATAACGCTTGTGTGATAGGTTATGCTAAACAACTGATTGCTTTAGATTACTTCCTGTCAACTGAAACATCTAACTTTATCAGCAGGAAGTTTTCCCGTTAAACATCTGGTACAGTGCACAAGTCAAATTGGGACAAATTTCCATAATATCTAAAGATAGTTGGAAGATAAATAAAGGGAAAGACCCTCTGATTCATTTCTTTTTCACTCTGATATTTATACATCAGATCCCACCCCTCCCCCAACACTAGCATGGTTTAACCACCCATTAACCACCTACTGCTCCACATTGCTAATTAGCATAAGCAACATGAGCACATGGGTAGTTAGGATATTATGATGTATGTGTGTGTGTTACTGAAGCTATTTTTATACACATGCTCTTTATAGCAACAAGGAGGGTGTTTTGTTACTGAAAATGGCTAATCAGCTGTTTCGTTTAATGCCATTTTCACCACCAACGTTGGCTAATGTACAAATAATGTTCCTGCAGTTACCAGTAATGATGAAGCAATCCCTCAGTTTCTCCGCCATAGCTTTTATGTAATCTTGTGATTGTCTCATTCATGTAGTCATCCTTGTTTGTTTGCATTTACATTCATGTATTGGATTGAAGCCCACGCTGTTGTTAAAGTAATGACAGTAATGGCTGTGGCAGCAGGTCGGGTGGGGGAAATATTGCGCCGGTACTGCGTCATGACACCGTAATATGTTATTTCGGGGGCTTCAAGCTAAGTATTATTAGAAACAAATATCATTTTCCTAAGCTTCAGCCCTCAATTTTTCTGGACAGCTGCATATTAAAATCGGTTGGACTGGACATTTAATGTCCTCTAGTACAAATTCTGTGTGATGTTTGATTGCGCAGGTTGTTTAGCTTATTTAGTACATTAATGTAAAATCACTCAATATTACAAGCAGTTATAGTACTTGTAGACACTTGGTGTGTGATCAGGCAGGCTGAAAAGCTTTTAAACCTCCTAATAATCCATAATGCACTCAAAATCAAAAATCTAATTCTGATGTGAATCCTCAAAATTGGAGTCTGTATTGCATAGTGTCAGGATTGTAAAGAGTTAAATTTGAGTGAGGCGATATCTCCCCCTTTTCCAGAAGGGTAATGGGGGCAGGAGATAATCCCGTGCTCTGCATGGAGCCTCAGGGAGACCGTTACACCGCTAGTTCAATTTCTTCTCTTATTAAGAAACACAACAGAGTTATGAAACCGGAAAGGGGAAGTTCTTGCTCATTTCATTTTATTTCATTGTGAAAGATGAATCCTTACAGTAAATTCTTGTGGGAAGACAAAGCACATTGCATCGCCATAAATCAAAGATTTCCATTAAAATTCCAAATGTCTTTCTTTCATAATAATAAATGTCACAAGTTCTTTATTTTTTATTTATGTGACCATTAGCTGCCTCTGATATAGCAGGTAATCTTCCACAAACAACAAAATATACCATATACAGGAAGAGCATGTGCAACACATCTAACTCTTGTAACTAAAATCATATTCTAGATGAGTTAAAAATGGTGTTATAGTCAGAGTAATGTGAGCATTTGCAGTACATGCATAGTAAAAGACTGCCTCAAATTTGATTACATTTTTTTTCTTTTTTTGCATTTGTTACATTTGAACTGTCAGATCAGTCTTGAATACAGTCCAGACACATACATGGGCAGCTGGACACCTGATAACAAACTAATGTTCTGTTATACTACTTTGAAGTCAACTTGTTCATGCGTAGATATTGCAATGTACTGTAAATTTTCTATAGATTTTGCATGGTTACCCCCCCTAAATAAACAAACAAAAAACATGAACATCCACATGGATCTTTGCAATCAAATTCTAAACCTGAGTTGATCCTAGTGGACTTGTGGATGTAGAAAGTATATAATGAATGCTTGAGACTTGGGTGTAGTGCCTAAGCATGTTTTTAATTTGGGGAAATAAATATTAAATATTTGCCAAAACACCTCAACTGGGTGTTTTGGCAAATAGGCAACACCATGGTGGAGATGGTGAACCCAAGTGAAGCTATGCAAAATACCTTTTTGTAACTCAAATCATGACGCGTGTTTAAAAGATTTACAGCCCTAACCACGTTTCATTACAAGGCTTTGCCTTTTCCTATGCTATCATCATAAATAAGAATGTTTTTAATGGCTTGCTGGTTAAATATATGCTACACTGGCTCACTGTTCCTTCTCATGGTACATATTTGAATTACAGGAAAGTACGGCCTGGTTATAGTCCAATTTTAGTTGATATTTCTTCAGCACAGTGCACACAAGTTTTGAACTGAAGTCATAGCGGTTGTTTCTTCACATTCTGATAGTGGATTTAGCACAGCAGGCATATTAGGCAAAGCAACGTCTGTCTATATACATCCTAACTGCTAGCTTTATATGCTGTATGTCTTCAAACTTGACCAATCCTTGTAAAAATGAAGAAATGTACAGATATGTATTCATGGACATGTATGAATGTATGTAGGTAGGCAAATGTAATTTTTTCTTGATTCGGACTCAGTTGAGTGTCCTTAGTGCTCTATAAGGATTTTATTTGGATTTTAGAAATGGTATTTGTGGTATGGGAACAACACTTGCCTTGTACTTGCTTTTTGTTGGCCAGTGTCAAACCATGCATATACATTCTTAATCAGATGTTAACAGCTTACTAGATCTGGTGACATTTGTCCACATGCAATCCAACTCATCTGTCTGCTTGGTGTGTCAGGGCTGTAAGCCACTGTTTTATATCAGCTAAAGCCTTGATTCAAATCTCTACCCGAATCTTGGCTATACAGGCCAGTTGGATGGGGAATTAAATCACAAGTTCACATGGTTTCTTACCCTCATAATGCAGCAAATCCAAGCAGATGTGACTTTTCCAACACTTAGCACTTGACACAGCAAATTAAATGTTTATTTACTCTAACTGCTGCACAAACAGAGTGATTATAGGGAAACGACACAAGTTTAGTACATGGTGCACTTCATGAACCCTCAAGTTTACATGTGGAAACCTAAGAGAGAAATATGAGGCAGTCTCTGTAAAACTGCCTCACAGGCTCTTTCCCTCCTCCAACCCAGTTTCCTTCTCACTGGATGAGTAAGTGCAGCTGTCTAGCATTTCTTGCTCACTAGTGGACTGCACCTGGTAGGTTTTGTGTGTGGAGAATGTTATGCATGACTCAGTGTGATAGAATATTATGATCAAGCACAGCTGGTCTGTTGCTCTGCTTCAGATTACAATCTAAGTGC